ACGCCATCCCGTCCGATCTGGCAAGTTAAGCAACGTTGGGCCTGGTTTTTATGGATTCTTCGCCCTGAAATCACGTCGATCTTGCAGTACGCGATCGCGCAGTATGATGGAAAAATTCTGCACTGCTGGAGGAAAAAACGGCAGTTGCCGTAGAACCACTGCAGCTTGACGAGGGATCTCGGCAATATCGTGGCTCAACAGCTGAGTCCAGTAATCTGGAATGTGGACTCGGCCGTTGAGCCTCGGCGCTCGTGAGAATCTACGTAAGGTCATTGTCGTATTTCATGCAGGTTAAGGTTATTTCACTTAAATAGCTTTACGTGAGAGTGAACAGACACGATGAGTATTTGAGGCTATGCGAGCTTTTACATCCGATCAGCATCTACCCTTGCGACACCCGTTTGCACGTTTTCACCATCCGTTGAAAACATCCCATCAAAACTCAATTGAAGATTCGCGAATAAAAAATAATTATTACGAATTAAACAAAATTGCGTGCAAAAAACCATCCCGTGAATTCTCATACGTAATTGACTTCCCTGATCCACTCGCAGTTGTAGTGAATAATCATTTTTAGCTGAGTAGAAGCGAATAGTAGTGGCAGGATAGAAAATCGTTTGATATCAAACACTATTCGACGAACGCGACAAAATCTACATGACCGTCCTTGGCAAGCTGCCAATCAGCTTATCGATTGTTCACTAATGTTGCTCCAGGGCAAAAGTAGTGAACGGCAATTAGATTTCGTAGTCAACCTAGGGAGGAGCGGAAGCCCCTCGTCCCCCACTCTTAGGCCCCTTATTATGCCCTAATCAGAACGTTTTACGACCTCATTTCGGCACATATGGTATCAGAGGAGGCCCCGAATTCATACTATGTGGAAATCTCCGAAAACATTTTTTTCGTGAACTGTGCCTTTAAATTGGTTCTAGAATGAGAATTCGAGAATGCATTTTATTATAAACATCAAAGGAGCCAAAATCATTACACTGGTGCAGAAGTTTGTGAACCATACACACGTTAATAAGTAACAACAGTTCCTGGAAATGGACTGCGTGCCGCTTTGTTCATACATGATGGGAAAACCTCACAGCCAACTCTTCCTCGTTTATCAAAGGTAGTTCTCCCATCAGGGAATTTTCAAATAATGTTGTTGAAAGGTCTGCAGAGAGGGCTGAAGTTTTACCCCGCTAATGGTATAATTATTAGACCTTCGCTAAGGAAAGAGGAGCGCACAATTATACGACTCTCGCGGAGTCGCAGCATGGTTCACCTGCATTTCGGCCTACATTGATACTTTCCTTAATACTTGTGACTCCAAATCGGATGTATCTGCTCCTAACTGTGGGTTTTTCAATAGTACACTGAAAGATTATGATAGGCTTGAAAGGAACACACCGTGTTGTCTACCTGCTAATGTTACGTCTATTCCAAGGAATTCAAGACACATTGATCTGTTACTAAAATTTGGTTACGTTTTAAACGTGTTCTTTGAAACTCGGCCATGCTCTTATCATTCTATTTGTTCGTCACTAGATGTTGATAACTACGGTGTACTATGATGTGATAGGCGCGGAAAACAAGGAGGGAAGCAATGATTCTCATAAGAAATATGTTTTACTATATAGAAGTGTATTCAAACTCTGTTAGACGATTACGGAATCTTATGCATGCTCTTTTGAAGGAATTATCTTCCCCAACTCGTTGACGCCGGCTTCATTCTAGGTTTGTTTGTGAAAAATATTGCTCATATGATAGCGAATCCCTTAGCTTACATTTTCAATCATTCACTGTATTTCTCCAAGGTCCATACAGGTGGAAACATTCACCACTGAAGGAGCCGTCACGTTTACTAGATAATTACAGGCCTGCCAGCATAACCTCTTATTGTCCGTTTGTTTGAAAAAGTTAATTTAAAAGCACATCATGTCACACTTGGATATCAACGAAGTTATTCCGATCAGTCAACATGGGTTTGTTCTTGGACACTCTTAGAAAACCTCTTAGAATGTGTCGACGACTATAGCGACTGACTTGATATCAATAAAAAATTGTGCGACATAATTTATTTCAACTTCCAACACATTTGATAAAGTTAATCATTATAACCTAGTAAGCAAGTTAGTTTACCTTAAGTTCGATCCCCTAATATGCACTTGGATGAAGCAATTCCTTTCTTAGAGAACTTTCCAAGTTCGTATTTGATCTGTTTTTTCGGGACTGAAAAAAAGTCGCAAGTGGAGTTTCTCAGGGTGGGGTACTCTCCTATACTTTTGCACAACTACAGCTAAACTCCGTAAATTGCTTGAATAATGTGTTGTGTGCAAACAATTTTGAATTGTTGCACACAACACATGTTGCACTGCCTTCTTAGATTGTTGCATGATGTAGCTGGTGCTTTATGGAATCTTGTGTTTCTTTTATTTTTGCTTCGCTGTGTTTGAGCTTACTAGCACAACTGTCTGAGTCTTTGGTGCACCATGAGTGCAGTATATAAATAAATAAATAAATAAATAAATAAATTTGCTGACGACATTAAAATCTACAGTATGATTGAAAGTGAAGATGGATAAGAATGATTCAAAAATGCTTTACACGTTATTTCTGAATGACCTAAGCAATGGAACTTGTCACTAGCTCTTGAAAAGACCGTGCAGATGAGAATGGGTTCTTCTAGTTGATACAAAACAATCGACTTGACGATCACCATCTTAAGAGTGTCTCCTCCGTCAAAGATCTCGGTTTTCATTAGAATAATAAGCTCTGCTTCTTCCAACATTTGGAAATGATATGCAAGAAAGGTACATATCGTACATATCAAATTTTCAAAGGACTTACGACCAATGATAAAGATCTTCCTGTGAGCGCTTACAAAATGTAAACTAGACCGATTGCGGAGTGAGGAACATCAGTATCTTGCTCTTATAAGCAAAAGAAATTTCAGTTAATTGAAAAATTTAAAATAATTTCACCCGTAAAATATTTATCTGATCTGGAGGGCATAATTATTCAAGGCCACCTCGTGTGTTTTGTAGGAATAAAGAGTACAAATTGCACACTCTTTGTTCCAGTAGAAAACATTTAGATGTGTGTATGGTCTTTATACACTGGACCACTCTGGCTCGTGACAGGGACGAATGGAGACGTTACTGGCGCCTGCTCGAGGAAGTCGATGATCAACGGGACGATAGGTGATAGAGGTGATCGTCTTTAAGCTGCTGACTGGTGTTGCTAGGATTGAGGCGTCTGAAATGACGAGTGTGATCAACTCTGGAGCCTAAAGCGATCATGAGAGGCATAGCTTCACTTGTCGTGCGCGGTCTTAACTCTCGTCTCTTAAAGCTACAGTAGCGATAACGTCTCCTGCCTTCCGACTTTTCAAGCGCCTACGTAAGTTCGAATTGGTGCGTTTTAGTGTGCACCAGTTCATATAGGATCTGTCTACAACTTTAGTTGCTATTTGTTGTTGTTGTTTGTTCATTTTTCTTGCGTTTGCCTTACGCACAACGTTATGATTAGATAAATATCAAGGAAATCGATCATTTCTGCTTATAGACGTCGTGCACCCACTTTTTCGTTGTACAATTACGTTAAATGCCTTTATTTTAGCAAGTAGGTACACCAGCAGTTTGACGATGATGAGTTTGCAGTGTGTTGTAGAACACTGTGTTGGTCCTGAGAAGCTGAGCAAGTGTGCTGATGGTGATTGGATTCACGCTGTCGAGGTGCTGGCACAGTCGTATATACTCATCTGGGGTTATCGTGCGCTGACACAAGAGGACGTTCAGTGCGTCACATGCCAGTGATCTGGAATTTATTCGATTGATCTGCCTGTTAGAAGAAAAAAACTTTTAGATCATATGAGGGTGTCGCAATCCACAATAACAGGTTCCAGTAGAACGTGCACTCAATAAAAGTATTTTTGCCGTAAGCTCAATTGTCGAGCATGAAAAGACTAGTTGTAAGTTTCGGAAGTATTGTACTGTTCGACCGAGGAGTGTGAGGATGCATTGTAGAGCTGCGCTGCGTTCTCCGCCGCAAAATCCTATTCTAAGAACTTGAAATTTGCAAGTAGCTGCTCATCCATTGTTAGACACGGACACTGGATAATTTTTTTGGCGGCATTCAAAGAATCGAGGAGGATGAAAGCTCGAGCAATGTTCTATACGCATGCAGTCATGCCTCTTTTGCTGCTAAATCTTTCCTGCTCTGACTTTCCTGGAGAACGTCCGTTGCGCGCGTACGTCGAAAGTAGGTCACCCCGCCCACTCCGCGCGCGGTGCACCCTAACTGAGGTCTTGGCATGGCATTACAGTACCATCAAGTGTCAGTGGAGCGAAAGTTTTGTATTTGTCCATGTTTCTTCTCTTTGGCTGACTGCTGTGGACCAAGCGCAAATCGTATGCCCCACAGACAACTGCGACGTTTGTCAAAGATCGCAGGCTTATGCGTCGCATGCGGCGGCTGCGCCGTGACCTAGTTTTGATGGACGCGCGCAACGAAGCGCACCCGACTTTCCTTGGTCCGTAAACTCGCTAATGCAGTGGGTGACTATTCGGATCCTAGTCTATTCACCTAATAAGAACGACCAAATCGTTACTTAAGCACTATTCATGATCTCACATAACGAGGTGCGTGATCGCCCAAAGAACCTGCAAAACTGCATTAAAGTGTATTATGGTCCAGATCCCCTACTGCCTGTCCAAAATGGATGAAGTCGGGGACCGGTTATCTGATTGGGGTTGGCTTACCTTGATGTGCCCCAGTTATAACGGAGATTTCTTCAAATTAAACGACGACGTAGCAAAAATCATCCAAACCCACTTCTCTAATCGTACGTCTCCTACAGCAGTGGCCAAATGCGATGAAAAGGCTTCTGGTTGTAAATGGGCTATATGGCGATTCAGAGCAATCCATTCGAAGGAGAGCTAAATTTAAATAGCAATCAGAACTCATAGACATATTTCTATATGTTTAGTCGAGTGATTTGCTGCATGTTCATTCACAAGATTTCCTCGGTAATCAAAGTCAATTCAACGAGCGGTGCTCCTTCGATGGCCCTATCGAAGAACTGTTTTAAAGGCGGATTTCCCCTTGAAAATAGAAAAACATCGGAATGTAATACTTTTGGCATCGATCAACAGCGCATGCGTCTTTTAAATGTATAACTGGTTCATTCAGTGCTATGTGGTTAGACAAGAGTTCCTTCCCTTGCAGAGATTGTAAGAGATGGCGTGAGAAACGAAAAAGTTGTCACCTGAATGAAGATCACTCTGTGGTAGGGGTACAGTTCAACAGGAAACCGCACCTCCTACCCAGAGCAGCATTGGCTGCTTTCATAGTCCGCGCCGGCGGAGGCAGTGCTAGCGGGGAGGAGGGAGGTAGACAGATAGGCAAACAGTCCACGCCTCTTCGAGGGGTTGAAAACAAACAACCTTCGAAGGGGCGTGGACTGTTTGCCTTACACTGTCTGCCTCCCTCCTCCCCCCTAGCACTGCTTCCGCCGGCACGCACGCCGGCACGCCGGCCGGCTGGCCGGCCGGCGGACTATGAAAGCAGCCATTGCATGGTGTGGGTTACGTATTCGTGACTCATCTCATTTCGCAATGGTCACACATTTAGTGCGTTATCATAGTGAGTGAATATTGGGCACTGCGCAGTGAGCACGCACATAGTTGATGCGGTTCATCGGTTCAAGTCTTTTCGATATCACTCAACACTTCTCCTACCTTTTTCGTGGTGCTCATCTGCCGCCGTTCCATTATTGCACCAAGACGTAGTATTTCGTCAATATTTACTCGGAGACGATCGCTCGCTGAAATGGAGACTCTTTTGATATTGATTGCAACCAATTGTCGCTCAAATACTGCAATAATTACGACGTGGAGCTGGAGCTTCCATGAATGGTGGCTCAATTTCTTTAGCCGTGCCAAGGTCGAATGGAACCGCCTGCATTGGCACAGCCTGAGGCTCTTGCGGTGGCGATATCCTTTTGGGTGCTCTCGGAGGTGGAGCCTGAACTGAACATTATACGATTGCATCGAGAAGTAGCACTTCTCACCTGGGCTTCTTCACGAATCGCACGCGGCTTTGGAGGGGAAGGCATTCCAGGACCCTGAAATGTTTACGGTACATAGCAGCTCAGAAACAACAAATTAAGGGTTAAATGAGGAAACCGTTTCCAATCTGGGCGGAGGTTGAACTTCTAGCTTCTCCGGTTTCTCCGCTCTCACTTCCACTGGTTTAGGTGATGGCTGTTCTATTTGAAGGAGCTCCTCAGGCTTAACCTCTTGTGGTTTTTCTAGAGGCATCAATGGCTTTTTGAATTCAGCCAACTCTTCAGGTTTTGCTTCAGGCGGAACTCTCTTGCCCGGAGGAGACATTTCCTCCTTTT